CCCGAGCCCCAGGGCTACAGACAGCAGCTGCCCAAGGCTGAGGACAGCGGGGTGGGCTTGGAGAGCCCCTGCCCTGCTCCTGGCTGCTCCTCTGGCAGCGGGAATGCCAGCCCAGGGGAGCCCGGGCTCTGCCAGGAAGATGTGGAGTTCCGGGGGTACCTGCAGCAGTCCAAGGGCAGCGGGGAGCCAGAGCAGGCCCCGGGCAAGGGAGTGCCCCTCTCAGGCTGTGCAGGGTCCGTGCAGGGCCCGGGCAGCACCGACACCGTGCTGGACATGGAGTGCTCCGAGCTGGCTGTGTCCAAAGGGTACCTGAAGCAGCCCTCGCCCGAGCGTCCCCTCACACAGGACCTCGCTCCATGGGGAGCCCCTGAATGGGATTTCTCCAGCCAGGTGGGGCCCCAAGCCCCCACTCTGCTGAACTGGGCAGCTCCAGGTGATCCACTGACCTCCAAAGCCAGTCCTGATCTGAAAACTCCCTTCAACCTGAACATCTTCAACAACTCTGCCTTCCTGGGGACAGCTGCTGTGTCCAGCCTCAGCTCCAGCTGGATCACACTGCCCATCACGCCCCTGAGCTGGCTCAGCAGGGACAGCAAGGACAGCTGTCTGTGACCCGTCCCCTGGGGACCACAGCCCTGCTCTCTGACCCAACTACCTCGTCTGCCACTGGATAAGCTACCCCCGACCCCTGAATGTTCACAGTGCCAGGCCCAGCATGGCCCAGGAGCACCAGCTCAGCCACTGGTGGGGCTGCTTTGGCCCCAGTCCTGCTGTGGGCACCCCCAGTGATCCCTCCAGCCAGTCCAGCTAACGGGAGACAGGGATCCACACCAGGCACCTCTGCCTTGTCTGCCCAGCATGGGCTCAGGGCCATCCTCAGGGCCTGGGGCAGTCCTGTGCTTTCACTTCCCCCTTTCCTGGGCCAGCTGGGCTCCTCCTGCTGATGCCCACACTTGTGATGCCCTCCCAACCTTTCACAACACAGAGGCCGAAAGCAGACGTCAGCCTGACATCAGCACCCTGCAGCACGGGGCTGCTGCCCTGCCTGACCCCACAGGGGTGGACCAAGAGACTTTTCTGACCCTGCAGAGACCCTTCAGCATCCAGCCCCTGTGGGACAGCCCCAGCACAGGATATGGGATGCACCTACGAGCCCAGCGTGGCAGTCCTACCACACTATGGTCTGTCTACAGACATTATTTATTGCATTTCATTTGTAAATACAGAAAAAAACGTGCTGTTATTTATTTGGTCCATTTGTTCATCCTCTCCTAAGGCCAAGCTGAGCTCTCTGTTTCTGGATTTGGACATTCCCCATCAGCAAGAGGCAATTTGCCTGACGTGGTGAAGAGCATTCCCATGTCACAGCTGGGAAAAGGGAGAACCAAGCCAGCTCTCCAAGAGCTCCTCACACACCTGAGTTCCTGGGGGGTTTTCCCAGGGGGATTTGTGGGAACAATCACCAGAGGAGCAGCAGGGAAAAGGGGCTGGGCCGATCACAGTGATTCCACAGGGATGCACATCCCATGGGACATCACCAGGGAAGGACAGGAGCAGAACAAGTCAAACCCAGGGGTGGAGGAAAGACAGCAGTCAGGGCTCTGCTCAGCAACGTGGTGTTCTGTCATGGGCTGGGCTCGATGATCTCAGAGATCTTTTCCAAACAAACTGATTCTGTGATGCTGTGAACAGTTGTCATCAGAATGGAAACAGGATGAGACCGAACAGCTCAGCCTGGGTCACCTGGGTCACAGGGAAGTTTTTCCAAAAGGCACCTCATTTCTGGGAACCTTCATGGTGGGAAGTAAAACTGCTGGCAAAAACCCTTCTTGGGGAATGTGGTTTTCAGGTGAAGGGTTTTTGGTTTTATTTTCAGTTTTTCCAGTGCAGGCAGGAGGAGGGGGCTGATCCTTGCTGTTTCCTTCTTTTCCATCTCCCGTGGCACTGCTCACGTTTGAGATCCATCCCTGCATCCCACAGGGATGTGGAGGGCACTGGGAGCCTCCTCCTGCCCCTCCACTGGTCCCATCTCTTCTGCCTCTGTGTATTTTGGGGGTTAGAGCTTTTTGCTTTCTTTTTCATTTTTTTCAACTTCCTCTGGAAAACGGAGTCGTCAAAAACACGGCTTTTTTTTGTTGTTCTTTGAAAGGCCGCTGACGTCAGGCCCCATGGCTGGATCCTGCGTCATGCAGGGCTCTGCTGGATCCTGCTCACCACGGAGGGCTCCCAGGCCCCAGGAGGGGGCATTTCCCCCTCTCCATGAGCAGTCAGAGATCTCCTTTCAGCCAGGAGAAAGCCACAGACCACAGGGTTTAGCTTTGATAGCCGAGAGCACAGATGGTCCCTCTGACTCGCTGGAAATCCCACTCTATCCTCACTGGTTTCCCTACAACCACGTGGCTCTCTTGAGTTTTTCTTTGTTCTTCTTCTGACAGAAACTTGCAAAGAGATGGTCCCAAGGCCCCCCCGTGTCTCGCCAGCCCCTGCTGGCCAAGCAGGGCCCCTCTCCCTGGCCACAGGCCCCCCTCTGCACCCCTGGCTGCAGAGAGCCACTGAGAACTGCAGATGGAGGAGATGCCCAGGGAATTCATGGAGTTTCTTTCTCTGGAGACATTCCAAACCCACCTGGCTGCGTTCCTGTGTCACCTGCTCCAGGTGACCTTGGGTAGGGTTGGCCCAGATGGTCTGCAGAGGTCCCAGCAATTCTGTCATTCTGGGAAGCTTTTTTAGCAACAGAAACTGCACCGTTGCCATTTCAGTTGAAATCCACCCAATTCAGGAGACGTTTCTTGCAGAAGTGAAAATGCAGGAATCCTCCCCAGCCGGTTTTGGTTGCTTTTTCTGTTGGTGCCAGGCTGTGAGTGAGAGAGGCAGCGAGAGGAAGCGCTGCAAGGGCTTCTCCCCATCCCTCTGTCCCTGGCCACACGTCCCATCCCAGGGAAGGAAACACAAAGCAAAGCCTGTGCGGGGAGAAACCAAAACCAGAGCTCAGGGAAAGCCTCTGAAGCCCCAGAGCCACAGGCAGGACTTTTGCTGGAAAAACCCTGGGACTGTCCTGAGGAAAGCCGTGATGCCCAGGGGCTACAGAGGCTTTGGGGCACAGCACGGGGGGGCAGAGGGGGACAAGGGGATGTCCTGGCTGCTCACCAGCCCAGCTCTCACCTCATGGACCCTGGTTGTGGAAGGGCTCATAGCCAGAGGTTCCCAGTGAGCCACTGATGCTGAATGGTGGCACCAGCTCCAGTGCCACCGACCCCAGCCCGCTGCAGGGAAAGCAGACAGCAGAACTGGGGGGATTTGGGACTGGGGAGCAGGGGGTGACACCTTGGCAGTGCACAAAGGGAGCCCTCCTGCCCCTGGTCCCCCCATGGCATCACTCACCGTGAGTGGTAGAGGTTGAAGACAAAGTCAGGCCCTGGGGTGGTGGAGGAAGAGGAGAGAGAGGTGTCAGAGCCATGTGTTGCCATGAATCCACCTTTGCTTTTCAGTGAGTCTGCGTGGCAGGGTGGGGACAGGCAGGACAGGCAGCAGGACATCACCAGGACATCACTGTGCATCCCCCTCCTCACCTCAGGGGGTTCCCAGCTTGGCCTAGAGCCCCCCCAGCCCCATCTCCCACGTTCCCCACACCCCAGTCCGTGCTCTGAGCCCCTCTCC